ATTTTTTCGAAATGAGAATTTTGTTTCTGAAAATAATATACAAAAAATACAAAAACTGTTAATTAGAAATTATATTAATTAGGAATATTGTTAATTAGAAATTTTGTCAATAGAAATTCTATTTATTAAAAATTATTTCAATTAGAAATTTTATTAATTAGGAATTCTATTAATTAGAAGTTTTATTCATTGGAAATTTTGTTAATTAAAAATTCTATGAACAAGAATTTTTTTTAATTAAAAATTCTGTCTATTAGAAATATTGTTTATTAAAAATTCTGTTGAATTGGAAATTTTGTTTGTTATAAATTGTATAGATTAGAAATTCTAATAAGAATTTTTTATAAATAAAAATTCTGTTTGTTAGAAATTGTGTTTTTTAGAAATTCTGTTAATTAACAATTCCGTTAATTAGAAATTCTGCTATTTCGAAATTATGTTGATTAAAAATTCCGTTCGTTATAAATTGTGTAAAGTAAAAATTTTCTTAATGAGAAATTTTATCAATAGGAATTTTACTCAATCAAAAATTCTGCTAATTAGAAATTCTATTAATAAAAACTTTTCTTAATTAAAAATTCTCTTAATTAAAAATTCTGTTAATTAAAAATTCTGTTAATTATAAATTGTGTTAATTATAAATTTTCTTAATTAGAAATTTTATTAATTAGAAGTTTTCCTAATTAAAAATTTTGTTAATTAAAAATTGTGTTAATTAAAAATTCCATTAATTACATATTCTGTTAATAAGAAATTTAATTAATTAGTAATTCTGTTAATTAAAATTGAAAGTAGTTAACAATTTCATTATAGGGAAAAATTTGTACTCATTTTAGAATAAATTTTCCACTCGAAGTGAAATGAATTGTCATAACAAATTTGTTAAAAATAAAGAAAAAACCAAGCAATATCAAATTTCTGCATATGCTTGTTTTGCATCGTAATGCAACAAACGCGACACGTGGCAAATTGTTTTAAGACACTTGTGACAAATGTAAGACATTTAACTTGAAACGGCTTTTATAAATGTGCACAATGATTTATCGATTAATTCGCTTGCTTTTAAATTCATATATATTGAATCAATAGAATTCTGAATTTCATTAAAATAATTATTTTATTTTGTAAATTTAAAAGAAAATAAGAATAGTTTTATTGCGTGGGTGAATTACCTAATTTCAATTATAAATAAAATTTAAATTGTGTCAAGTGAAGATGGAATTGCTTATTATTAGTTAATTAATAATGTTTATATTTATTGTATTAATAATATAACAATAATTATAATAATAATTATTATTATTAATTATTATCGCGTTCCGTGCCATTAATACTCTACACTGAAAAAAAATTTATTTGATTCAAATGAACGATTAATTGACTATTATCAATTAAATATTTATTTGAATCAAATAATATTTATTGGAGTCAATTAAATGATATTTGAACCAATAATTTCAGTATTTGAAGCAAATATGAACTGAACCATTTAATTGACTCCAATAAATATTATTTGATTCAATTAAATATTTAATTGATAATAGTCAATTAATCGGTTATTTGAATCAAATTTAAATATTAAATATTATTAAAAAAAAAGTTATTTAAAAGTTTTTAAATATTATTATTTTGATTTAATTAAATATTTAATTGATAATAGTCAATTAATCGGTTATTTAAATCAAATTTTTTTTTCAGTGTAAATAAATGAATTTATTTTAATTGTAATAATAGTAATAATAATTAACAAAAATTAAGAATAATAATTAATAATAATAAATTTAGTAATTAATTAATTAATTGGTTTAAATAAGAATTAGTAAATTTTAAAATGGAGGAAAAGTTTGTTTGAAGTAAAATTAGTAGTGGCTATTTAAACGTAATGTAAATGTGGTATTTAATATGAATTTTCTTTTGTTATTCCATATAATTTTATTTTAATATTCCATTTAAAAACTGTCACTTTCCTCTTGATAAGAAATTTTTATGTTTAACCACTTTAATAAAAAAAAAAAATGTTTACTTAGCTGTTTCACAATTTCTATAAATAAATTTTTTAAATATTTTCAATTAAGGATTAATTAGTTAGAAACATAAATTACCACTGCACACGAATAAAATAATTTTTTTGACAGACGTTCGAATATTTTTTAAATTTATTTGAATCTTAGAAAGTAGAATTAATATTGAACCGAATTTTCATAGAATAAAATTTTTTTATTATTATTATTATTATTATTAAATTATTATTATTATTATTATTATTATTATTATTATTATTATTATTATTATTATTATTATTATTAATATTATTATTTTTATTATTATTATTATTTTTATTATTTTTATTACTATATTATTAACTGCAATTTTATTTCTAACAGAATTTCTAATCAGAATTTGCAATTAAAAAAATTTTTATGTGTGGATTTATATTTTTTAATGATTATTTTGAAAAATTTCTTAAAATAATTATTTACAATAATTTTATTATTAATTTATTGAAATATTTATTTTAAGATTTAAAATTCCCGCGAAAATACCTTGAATATTTAGTTGAAGATACATTTTGGTGCTAATTTACAAATTAATTAATTTCAATTTTATTTTTGATTGATTACATTTAAATTTCGCGCGAAAAAATTGTAAAGTATTTTGGCGCGAAATTAAAAAATGAACCAATCACGATTAAGAAATTCTGATTGTTTTGAATTTCGCGCCGGAAAAAAATTGTTCATATTTTGGCGCGAATTTAAAAATTTTTCAATTTTTCACTTATGGTTTTTTAATAAGAATAATAAGAATTGTGTAAATTATGGAATTAATGCGTAAATTTGTAAAATTAAATTTAAAAATTCGAGGTATTATTAATTGATTGACAATTGTTAAGTAAAAATAGTAAAAATTTTGTTAAGTAAACAGAAAATGAATTGTGCTATATTGTAATGCCATTTTCGACCTTTGCTTGAAGATTAATCAGGGTGTGATAGGTACTATTATTGGATGAAGTTAGTCACGAATTATCTAAATTTAAATTGAGATGATCTAACTTTAGATATTTGCGATATATAAATGTGAATGTGTGTGTGATTGACCTAGCTTCATGAAAGGTGGATTTTGGTGTCTGGAGTTGTCGTGTTTTTAGCACAGTTCTCTCTCCTCTTGATGATCAATATTATAAGCCCTGTGCTTTTCTGTATAAACGAAACGACAACGACGACGATGAGAACGACGACGACGACGACGACGACGACGACGAAGTTCCAATCAAAAATTGTACTCGCGCAGAGTCCGTAACGTGAAAATTCCATTGAGCAGACGCCGTTACGTCATTTCGCCAACGGGAAATGACGTAGGCAACGGGTTCGGCCCCCCTTTTGCACATTCCAGAATGCGCTCTAGGCCAACCTATGATGATGAACGTCGTGACCTCGCAGAAGGCTATTGAGTTCCTTTGCTAATGTTCAATTCTCCATTTTGTTGTTGTTATAATTTCGCACATGCTATAGAGTCTGTTAGAGAACTTGAAAGTATCCGTTATATAAACGTTAGAATCTCTTCGAGTCTGGAAAAACGTGTTTGTTGTTGTCTTTTTTCCGAATCGAAATAGAGAATTTTTTTTTATTTCCATTTTGTCAATTGGTAATTTTGTTTTAATTTTCTGTAGATTTTAATTATAATTAATATAAGTAATTATAAAAAATATAATTATAATTAATATATTAATTAATAATTATATTTTTTAATTATGTACATCTATAGTGATAAATGAATATGTACTTTGTTATTTGTACCAAGAAATGATTGAGAATTTTAAAACAAAATTTATCTTTGTTGATAAATTTGCAAATTTTCGAGAAATTTGTGAATTTTTAATCCTTTTTGAAAGTGATTAGATTAGAAATCTGTTGATTGGGAATTATTTAGTGAATTGTTTATGTCTTACCTTAATTATAAATAATTATCGCAGACAAAAAAAAGAATTCGAAATTTCTTTTTGGAAGCAGATTTTTTTTCGCTTGTTACGCTCCTGAATGGCCTCACCCCTCTTTCCTTGTAGATGATATACCCGGGTGACACCAGTTGGCAGCACTGCTTTTGCCTACGCACACGTGCAAACAAGGCTACTTGCTATTTGGATTGTGATCATTGAACATTCACTCTCGTTTTAGTTATTATATTATTATATCTGTGTTGTGTTAGATTCTATTGAATTTTAATATTATTTTAATTACTTGACATTTGCAATTTTTAGGGATATGACTAAATGTTTGATGTTTTTTTTTTTTTTTTTTTTGAACAATTAGAAAATTGTACTCTCTCGTTTGACAATTGAAGACTTATTGTTCGACACGCATATGTGAGCAATCGACGCGCGACTTCCTTCGTCAACGTCACACAATTTCCGGTGTTTCGTGTTCTTTTTTTCAATTTTGCATTTGCAGGAAGTAAAAGAAAAATTTAAATAGTCTTGTTTCGAATGCTTACAAATCGTTATATTGAAGGCAAAAACAAGTGTCTTTTTTTCTTAATAACACGTGATTTTGAATCTTTTGCAATATTGTTTGCAATTCTTATTTATTTTTAGCCAGTAATGGTAAATATTGAAAGTATTTTTTAGTGAAGGGGAACATAACCTAAAAATAGGAATTGTACGAATTTCTTTTTTCGTACTCGTTAAATTACAAGAATGTATCGAAGAAATTTTTATTAATCGTGCATGAGAGAAACATTTTTTTGCTTGCTTCCATCTGGACGCTCATTGTCATTGCAATTGTCTTGTAAGTTTGTTTTTTATACAATAGTGTTACATTATCGAGTTTCAACTTAATACTCATGAAAAAGCTCTCTCGGGGAAACCTGTTGCGCCTTTAATTCTATATCCTTTTTGATAAATGACATTTTGAAGTAAATTAAAAATGAGAAAATCTTGTCAATTTTATTGCACATTTTGAGATAAAGAATTGTATTTGTATACTAAATTATTATGAATTTTTCAGGATCGGATTTTCATGTTCCGAATCAGAGTTACGGTGCCCAGCCAGGTGGGCAAGTGGGTGGTGGCGGGGGCAACGTCGGTGTCCCAGGAGGAAGAGGTCCTCCTCTAGGAGGAATACAGTCTATAGGACAAACGCAAACAGGAATTCCTCCAGGTGGTCCTGCTGGTGGACAGCATCCACCTCCACAAGCACCGACACCCGGTGTTCAGCCACAACAACCTCAGGGTCCAACCCCCACGACAACACCCCCTGTACATACACCTTCGCCTCAAGAAATGGGGAAACAGGGCCACTTACAAACCGTTTTCGTTGCTAATCAACAAAGGCCAACCTCACAAGTATGTTTCAATTAACGAAATTAATTATTTTACTGAAAAAAGAAAAATTTTGCCTTCCAGAATGTCTTTGCAATTCAAAATGTGAAAAAAATCAAAAGACAAATCCAAAGTGTAAACAAAAGAAAGACAATCCAAAATGTCGAAGAAGAAAAATTCAGAAAGAATTCACAAATACAAAAAAAATAGGGGTAATAGGGCTCGAAATAGGTTCAAAAATTTGCTTAAAGTCCGTAAAAATCAATTTAAAAAAAAAAAGTTCGTAATTTGATTGAAAAAGAACGAAAAGTTTTGTTCAAAAAATTGAAAAAATCAAGTCAAAATTTTGATTATCTATTTAAAATAATTAAATTCTTCAAAATTCAATTATTTTCAAAAATTTTGAAAAAAATTCTTGGCAAAATTCAATGATTTTCAATATCTACTATTTTAATAAAATTCCCCAAAAGAATTCAATTATTTTAAAAAAATCTTAATAAAATTCTACCCAAACATTAAATTATTTTCATAAAATAATTAACATTTCACAGGAATTCAATTATTTACACTTTTTTTTTATAAATTTCTTCGCAATCATTCAATTATTTTCATAAATAATAAAATTTTTACGGGGATTCAATTATTTTTTTAAATAATAAAATTCTTTTTAGGAATTCAATTATTTTAATAAATAATAAAATTCTTTTTGGGAGTTCAATTATTTTTATTATAATTTTAATCGAATTCTTGGAAAAAATTTTTTATTAAAATTCATCAAAAGAATTGAATTATTTAAAAATTTATTGATAAAATTGTAAAGAATTTACAAGTAATTGAAATTTAGTAAAATTTCTAATATATATTTCATTGAAGAATTTCCGAATAATTGAAATTTTGTAAAATTGAATTGTAAACAAATGAATTTGAAAATTGTCAAAGAACTTTTTCAAAAATTATTAAAAATAATGTATATTTATAGAAGAATTTTAGTTAGAAACACGAAAAAAATTTAATTTTGGAAAAGTTACAAATTATTGCAAAAATTCATTTATTTTTAAGAGTAATAATATTCTTCGTAAAAATTAAATACTGTTCAAAAACAATAACATTTTTCTTAGGGTTTCAATTATGTTCGCAAATAATAAAACTCATCGCGGAATTTCAATTATTTTTAATATAATTTTAATCGAATTTCTCGAAAAATGTAATTATTCTTCAAAATTTTATTAAAATTCGTCGAAAGAATTCAATTATTTAACAAATTTGATGATAAAATTCTTTATGGGAATTGAATTTTAAGAAACATTCAATTATTCAATAATTTGTTTATTTTTGTATTTAAATAATTGAATTCTTGTAGAATTTTGTGATAAAAATGTATTCAACAATGAATTTCAATTAAAATTTTAGATAATAATTGAATATTAAAAACAATATAGCGTGAATTTTTAGAAATAATTGAATTTTGAAATTAATTTTTTTTTAAATAGTTTAATTGAATTTTTTTATATTTTAATTATTTTTATATTATTTTTTATATATTATTTATATTATTGTTAAGTTTTTATTTTCTAATATACATTTAATTGAAGAATTTACGAATAATTGAAATTTCGTAAAATTGAATATTATAAACAAATGGATTTGAAAATTGTCAAAGAACTTTTTCAATAATTATAAAAAATAATGGATTTATAGAAAAATTTTAGTTAAAAACACTATAAAAAGAAATTGAATTTTGGAGAAGTTACAAATTATTGCAGAAATTCAATTATTTTCAAAAGCAATAAAATTCTTCGTAGAAATTTAATTATGTTCAAAAATATTAAAATTCTTCTTAGGAATTCAATTATTTTCACAAATATAAAAAACTCATCGCAGGATTTCAATTATTTTTAATAGAATTTTAATCGAATTTCTCGAAAAATATAATTATTTTTAAAAATTTTATTAAAATTCGTCAAAAGAATTTAATTATTTAAAAATTTATTGATAAAATCCTTTATGGGAATTGAATTTTAAGAAACTTTGAATTATTCAATAAATTGTTTTTTTTTGTATTTAAATAATTGAATTCTCGTAGATATTTCTAATAAAAATTGATTTTCATTTCATAAAAATGAATTTCAGTTAAAATTTTAGATAATAATTGAATTTTAAAAGTAATATAGCTTGAATTTTTAGAAATAATTGAATTTTGAAATTAATTTTTTTGAAAATGTTTAATTGGATTTTTTTATATTATTTTAAGTTTTTATTTTCTAATATATATTTAATTGAAAAATTTACGAATAATTGAAATTTTGTAAAATTGAATATTGTAAACAAATGGATTTGAAAAAGAACTTTTCCGAAAATTATTAATAATAATCGATTTAAAGAAGAATTTTAGTTAAAAATTGTTGAAAATAATATTTAAGTTGATAATGATTTTATCACTCGGTCATCTTTAGTTATTATAAAACATGAAGAAATCGATTACTCCGAGTCGAAGGAGTTATCTATTTCTTCACGTTTTATAGTTATGGAAAATTTAATTTACCGTTTTAAGTAAAATTAAATATTATTTTCTCTTATTTGACTTACTGGTTCGAGCTCTGATTTAGTGAAAAAAAATTTCAAAAGAAGAATGGAATTGATAAAGTAGATTTCTAAATTACAAGGGTAACCTTTGACATGTCCTTAATTGGCGAAATTGTTGTAGTAATGAAATGTAGGATGGTGAAAAAAATTTTGTTATTTCACAGGGTTACTATCAAACGGGTCCGAGACCTCAGCAACCAAGAGGGATGAATCACAGAGGTGGTCAGGGTGGCGGTAGCACCCAAGTTTTAAGCATGGGTGGAGCTCCTGGCGCGAGTGCTCAACAAATGCAATATTCACATCCTAATTTTCCAGGAATGTACGTCCAAAGTCAACTTTCTAATCTTCAACCTCAACATCAACAACATGTAAATTATCCCATGTCCATGCCGGTAAATATTAATTTTCATTTAAAAATCTAAATCAAAAAAATTAATTTTCCTCTAACTGAAAAAATAAAATTTTTCCATTTTTATTATTTAATATTTTATTGAAAAAATAAAAAAATACATTTTATTTTTTTAAGTAATATGCAGTTATATTTATTATTTATTTTTTCAATAGGAGGAAAATTAATTTTAAATATAATAGTTACTGATAATTATAGTAAAAATATTTATTATCTTCAGATTATGTATTAGGAATTTGTTTTGATTTATTTAGTAATTTTTATCTTTTAGATTATTTAATGTGAATTTAGTTATTTACAAATACTGTTAGATTTGGAATAAAAATAAATTTTCAAATTTGATTTATTTAGAAAAATTTTTAGTGAATTGAGAGAATAAAAATAATTTTTAGAATTTATTTGATTTATAAGAGTTGTTAGTAGAATGAAGAAAGATTTTATAATTTTCGTCTGTTTTCAGTTGCGGCCTCCTCAACCGCATCATAGTCAAGGACAAGGCCCATTTTATCAATACCCACATCCCCCAGCCGCGATTGTTACGAGTCCTTATTTTTTTTCACATCAATGTAAGTATTTTAATATTTTTCTTGTCATTAAATAATGACTTTTTTCATTTATTTTGATTTTTTTTGTTTTCTTTTTGATTTAGAATGAGATTTAGATTTATTTTAGAATTTACAACAATCTTAATAGACAAAAATAAAAATGTATCCTTTTCTAATTTTTTAGCAGGTAATTTTGCATTATATCCGGTGAATCATCCATTCGTTAGAGCGGCTTCTGCAAATGCTGTCAACAGTAATGCGCAACATATGCAAGGACAATTGACAAATGCTCAGGGAAGTACTGTTGTTCCTCAAGGTACCCTTCAGCAACCTGCACAACAACCCCAGCAAATGCCAACGATGATACCCGTAGCACCATCGGGTGAGTTTCTTTCAGAAAATTTTTATAGAGATTGTTTTTTTTTTATTTTATAATACAGTTTTTTTACGAGGTAAAAACAACACAGACTAAAGTAGAAAAAATTTTAATTATTCAGGAACTTGGTAGTGCTTTTTAATTTCTAGAAAGAATTTTGCAAGTTTTATTATAAATATCGATTGTAAATGTTGTATAGAAATTATAAAGAGTTCAAAATTCTTATGGTCGAATTTCTATTGAGAAAAGATTATAAAAGTAGAAAATTTGACCGAGAAATTTTTATTAGATCGTTTGTAATTTGTATCAAAGGAAAGTTAAATATTTGTAGAAGATCCTCTACTTTACGGAATTTTTTTTAAAAAGAAAATCTGTATTTTGTAGAATTTCTATTTAATAGAATTTCTGTTTAATCAAAATTTAATTTAATAGAATTTCAATTAATGGAAATTTAATTTGATAGAATTTCCATTTAATAAAAATTTAATTTCATAGAATTTCTATTTGATAAAAATTTAATTTCATAGAATTTCCATTCAATAAAAATTTAATTTCATAGAATTTCCATTTAATAAAAATTTAATTTCATAGAATTTCCATTTAATAAAAATTTAATTTCATAGAATTTCCATTTAATAAAAATTTTATTTCATAGAATTTCCGTTTAATAAAAATTTAATTTAGTAGAATTTGTATTTTATAGAATTTCTCTTTATTAAAATTTTAATTTAATAGAACTTTTATTTAATAAAATTTCTCTTTAATAAAATGTTTATTTAATAGAATTTATGCTTAAAAAATTCCTATTTGACGAAATTGTTTAAAAAATCGCAAATTTGTTTCGAAAAATCGAAACATTTACTTACCTGAATATTCATTTAGCAGAATTTTTTTTAAGCGAATTCGTTTTTAAGAAATTTTCTAATTAATTGAATTCTTATTTAACAGAATTTTCATTTAATGGAAATTTTATTTAGGCGACTGTTTATTAAATAGAAATAAATTATATCATTTTTATTACATTTAAAATTTTAATATAATTAGTATACATTCAAAAAAAATTATCCTTTATGATCACAATTTTACTTAGAATTTTCATTTCATCGAATCTCTATTAATTTGAACTTAAAGATATTAGAATTTGATAAAATTGTCTAAAACATCAAATTTCAATTTGACAGAAAAATTTTTGTCACGTTTATTATTAACTAATCAAAAATAATTCTGAGTGTTGTTTGAATTTTTCAATTCGCCTAGAAAAGATTGTTGTATTTTTACTGTTTTAAATTAAAATTCAATGTTTTGAAAATTATTTTAATTTAGAAGTTCTGAAAGTTTATTTAAATTAAAATTTAAGAAATAAAGAGCTTACTCACTTAAAAATTAGCCTGAGTTAAAATTCTATTTAATGAAAATTCGCCTAAATAGAAATTATCGTGAATAAAAATTTGGTTAAATTAATATTCTTCGTTTCGTTAAATTGAACAGTATTAAATAAAAATTGGACTGCTTAAAAGTTTTATTAATTAATATTGTTGGTGTTAATTTGGTTAATGTAAATTTGATTGACAGAGCAAAAATTCGGTACAATAGTTACATTATTATTGACAAAATTAAAAATTTTTAAATAATGTTAAATGTTGAAAATTTTGTTTAATTAAATTCAATGAATTATAGAAAGTGACGAAAAATTTGAACAAAAAAAATCGTATTTAATGAAACTTTAAATTAATAAAATTACTTAAGTAATGAAATAATTAATTAATAAAATAATTAATTATCTAATAAAATATTTATTTTAAATATTACTCTCGAAAAAGTTTATTTACACATTATTTTTACTTTATAAAATTCGTCCTGATGTAAAATTTAATTAATTAGAGATTTAGAAAAAACAACAATATTCATATTGTAGAATCTCCCTGTATATAATAATTATAAACTTTTACTATCTTTCCTTGTACAAGAATGGATATTAAAAATTCCCATTATACAAATTTATTAAAATTTTTAAGTCTAAATTTGAAATATTTTTCTTCTTTATTATCTTATTTATTATTTTCACTTATCTTTCGTTTACGTCATTTTATTTTAGCGACAATATTGGATAGTATTTATTTTATAATTTAATATTTAAAGGAAATAAAAAAAAAACTAAAGAACATTGTTTATGGTAATAATATAAAATGTAGCAAATAATAAATTTATTATTTCCTATATAATTTATAATTAAATTATAATTTATTTAAATTTATGAAATTTATAATTTTCGGTTTAATTTAATTGTAAAAGGAAAATATTTATTGGAAGAGTTTAAAAATACGTTCTAAAATGAAAAAAATATTAAATTATCAATATAGATAACTATAGTTTTGGAGTTAATGAATAGATATTTAAAATATAATTAGTGGTTGGTAACTAACGGTTTATTGCACTCTATTATATTATAATAATAATAAGAAGAAGAAGAAGAAATAGAGAAAATGTGACAAAGCGACAAGGTTATTAATCCTTTTTCCTTTATGATTGTATAAAGGTCGCGTCAAAGTCGTGGTAGTTTTTCTATTTGAAACTTAATGTAAAAATAGTAACGACTTTAACGTGTCCTTAATTGTTAGTTTTTCAAAATTTTGAATATTGAATAAAGTAGATGAGGCGCTGCTGCAAATGCAATTTTAAGTATATGACCTGCTATTCTCCTCCCACTTCCGAGGAGCGAGAGTTTCTTAGAATTTGGGACTACTGTTTTCGTGGTTGGTTCTTTATACCCTTAACGCTTTAGAGACCCACTCACACAACTTTAGTCCACAGTTCTGAAACAGGTCCGTGGCTTTCGGAATTTCCGTTGTTGGCAGATTTGAACAGTTCCTTGCACAACGCCAAGGAGATTGTGTGCCATCAAATTTTATAATTTTACAAATTTGCTTTTAACGTGATTGATTTTAATTTTTTTTTAACTTTAATTTATTTATTTATTTAACGAGTCGAAATTGTTATTTTATTTTCAAACAATGTATATTTCTAATAATAAATATAAATTGTACTTTGGTATGTGATTGTTTTGTATCTTAAATAATTGAATTTAAGAAAGTGTGATTAGTGCAATTTTTTAAATCTAATTTTCTGTGTTTTTCTTTTAAAGAAGTATTCACGGGTCATAACGGAGGTGCATCAGGTGCGTCTAGTGTCACAAATAGAAATAAGAGAAGGTCGAATGCCATCCCAATCATCCATCCTGAAACTGGCGAATCTGTCAGCGATCAGATTTACAATGAAATCGCGAAAGGAGTTGTCGATAATCGAGAGGCTCCTCAAATGCAAGTGAGTATCTAAAATTTAATTTTTATAAGTAAACGATTCGAAGAATTTTCGTATTTCTAAAATTGTAAAATTTTAAACACTATGACTTCTAATCGGTTACTTAACTATTTTTAAAAATTTTATTTATTTTTACGTAAAAAAAAAGTTGTGGAGGAAAATATCTATTATTAAATCAATAGGGATATTTTCCTGAAAGATTTATTGTTTCAATTTTTCATTATCTTAGTTGATTAAGGGAAGAAAAATTTTTGTTATTGTATTTTTGTATATTTAGAAAATAGAATTTTTACTCTGTCTATCACGAAGATTTGATGATTGTTGCAGAACTGCGACAAGGCTGTGATAGCTGACTTTGCGGCAATGGTCGCAAAAGCCGCGACCGAGTCAAGTTCCGATTCACCGGTGGCTTCTAGCGCACCCGAATCTCCCAATTCCCAAATTGCATCCCAAAGCTTATCGAACCTTAAAGTTCAAACGAATTCCACTACTAATAGTCAATCTAATACCGGTCCTCCTACCCCAACACAAACATTACCAGGCGCTTTAACGTCACCCAGTCAATCGTTAGGTACTTCTAGTAATGCGGCTCAATTAGAATCGTGCCCGGTTAAAGTGGATTCAAAGCCACTTCAGCCATCAATCAAAGAATTCCAGCCGAGAGGTGGAAGTGACGTGAAAATTGTAACGACAACACCTGTCGTCGCCGAACAATTACACGTACAATTAAATTCCACGGCTACAATTACAAATAAAGATAATAAAATTCCCACACAGCCTCCAGGAGTCAGTGTACCGGTGGTGATGCCTGTTAATGAAATTGAATTGAAGAACAATAATAATACCGCAACAGCAGCAGCAGCAGTAGCAGCAACAACAACAACAACGCAAACAACAATTCAATCATCAACGACGAGCTCAAATACATCTGATGTCCTTATCCCGTCCTCAACTGCCGTGGGTGCTAATAACCCAGTTCCTGCCAAGGATCAATTCCCCAATTTAGTCAACAAAAATAAATCAAGGTCGCCACCACGTGGGAAATATCAAAATTCGAATATTCCTGCGAATGCCATTACAATACCTGAGATGCCACCGTTGATTAAGGAATCAAAGGAACATAAGGAGAGGAAGGCGAATGAGAAAAATGCCAATTCTAGTAGAGGTACTACTCCGACGCCCGTTCACAATCAGCCGGAGCATATTCATCAAAAGACTAATGGCGAAACTAGTGAAAAATCCGATGTTGAAACACTGCCGAAAATTGAAACGCAACAGAAGACTACTGACGGTGAGTTTTTTTTTTTGTTTCTTTCCCCTTTTTCTTTTATTTCATCTTTTTCCATCATTTCGAAATTTTTTTAACTCTTGATTTTTGGAATTGAAAATATTTCAATAGAAAAATTCATTTTCAATATTTATTTATTATTGAATATTGTATTTTATACAAATAAATTTTCGCCTTTGTAAAAATTAAATGAATTTCGAAAAGGGTTCAACTCTGAAATTTGTAAGTCATTTTTATGTAACAATTGATAGTAAAGGTCAAGTTTACGGTTTTCAGAGTTGAGTCCTTTTCGAAATTCACGATTCAAATGTATTTCGAATTTCATAATGTTCGAAATTCATCAAGTTGAAACTTTATTTAAACATTTATTTGTATAAATGTGAATATTGTGATATTCAAATATTCAATATTTTCAAATACATTTATTTACAATACAATTTTTATTTAAGACATTTTAAATAAATATTATTAGTTTGATAAATATTCAAGTAAATGGAAATTCTCTTGAATTAGAATTATAGTAAAAAGAAATTCTATTAAATGACAAGTTCAAAAAAATTCAAGTTAATATCTTTGTATAAATATGAATTTTTATAAATTTAAATAAATATTAAATTGAATTTTTTACTGTAAAAATTTTATTTAATAGAATTAAAATAAATATTATTACTTGAATGAATATTCATGTAAATGAAAATTCTCTCGAATTAAAATTATAGTAAAAAGAAATTCTGTTAAATGAGAAGTATAAAAAAAATTCGAGTTAATATCTTTATTTAAAAAATTATTTGTATAAATTTCAATGAATATTAAATTGAATTTTTGTGCAATAAAGTTTTTATTTCAATTCTTATTTAAATTTATTTTTATTTAAATAAATATTGGTTGAATAAATATTCAAATAAATGGAAATTCTCTCGAATTAAAATTATAGTAAAACGAAATTCTGTTAAATGACAAGTATAAAAAAATTCGAGTTAATATCTTTATTTAAATATAATAATTCGTATAAATTGGATTAAATATTAAATTGAATTTTTTATAGTAAAGTTTTTATTAAAATTTTTATTTGAATTTATTTTTATTTAGGTACAAAAATATTGGTTGAATAAATTTTCAAATAAATGGAAATTCTCTAAAATTAAAATTATATTAAAAATGAAAATTTTGTTGAATGAAAATTGTATTGAAAAAAATTTTATTTAATATAAATTCGGCTAAAGAAAATTTCTTTCACTAGAAATTCGAATTAATCAGTTTTAGAAACAAGTTACAGAACAATTTTTTTTGCTACCAATTCGAATAATTTGAATTGAGAATCTTCTCAAAAAATTTTAATAATTTCTTATTGAATTGGATTACTGAAGAAACTTAAAAGTATAATTATTAATAATAATAATTATAATAATGATACTGATAATGTTAATAAGAATAAAATGACAATAAATAATAATAATAATAAAGTAAAATAAACAAAAATAATAATAAAGAGTTATAGTAGGTATAGTAACAATTAAACAAATAAAAATTTTAATTATTAGAAAAAAGGTTAGAAAAACAATTATAAAATTAATAATTATATAATTATAATTATTATAATTATATAATAATAATTATTATTATATGAACAACTATAAGAAAGATATGAAGTCAAAAAATTCGTCAGATTTAACTGTAATTCGTCAGATAATTTAATTGATTGAGTTACTGTTAAATATAAATGATTGATTAATATAAATAAATAGTAAATGTTCAAAGTATTAAGAATTTTGAAACTGGACTCAAATCTAGAAATGGACTTTCACTTAATTTACATTCACAAGAACCAGAGTGAGATCAGGTTTTTCAACAATATAGATAATTAGCGTTCAAATTACATTAACTTTCCATAAATGTTTATATTTTGCCTTACTTTAATTTTTCTAAGTAAAATATTTTTCTTGTAAAAGTAAATTCATCAAATGTAATTTTCTGAAAATCGAAAATTTGGCACTTTTTGCTATTTGATGTATTTTTATTTATTTTTTTGTTTTTTTGATCCTGGAAAAAAGGGGGTATTTAATTTTAATTTATTTCTATTCTCTTTAAAAAAAATGCCACGTAAATTTTGGTTTGTTTACGATGCAGTGAAATTTTTAATTTAGTCTCCCGAGGTTTTTTTTAGAAAAAAAAAAAATTGTCTTCAGAGTGAAATGATACAATTTAATGTTAGATTACATCATATATACAAGTGACAAATAAATCTTATAATAGTTTGTTACAGTCATTATTCATTTCTGGTTCATTGAAGTCTCTAAGAAGAGGATTTTAGATATAAATAATTGAAATCAATTAAACTTGCGTTTGAACGGAAACAATTTTCTTTTTTAAATCCCAGTTATTTGAAACGAATTTTATTCTTTTTTTTTTTTGGAAGAAACTATTTTCTAGCTTTAAAAATACTCTTTTTCAAATTTTATTCCAGTTTTTTTCTTTTTCTTTGTTTCTCTTTTTAACGAAAAAAAGAAAAATTTGCAAAAAAAAAAATGATTTTGAAAATAAAACTTTTTACTCGATTTGCCTTATAATTTGAAGTTTCTGTGTAGGTTAATTAACTCAACGACATTTGCTTAATCGTTCAAACTCAATAAATGTGAATTTTCAGGAAATAATTTTCGCTACTTGTTTATATTGATGTCCTTACGATGAAGAAGAGGTCAGAGAGAAAGAGAAAAAGATAGACAGAGAGTGAAAGAAAGAAAGAGAATCATGCTTATTGAAAAATCTTATTGGTCAATATTTTTAGGTTCTCTTGTGAAAAATATAGGGATATCGTTTCCGATGTCTTGTGTTTTGTACTTTTATCAAATTTTGCCAGTCGTCAGTTAGTCGTCCAAAACGTATTATTATAGTTCAGTGTCCGTGTTATTGTCTTTTAGAATTAAGTTATGTACATTTTTATATAGACTTAAAAGAGAATTAAATTTTCTTTTCTGTCTTTAAATTTATATTTATTTAAATCGCGAATACTGAAATGTTTAATCGTTTTATGTAACTTGACCAGTAATTATTATTTTTTTTTTTAATATTAAATTTTATTTATCAATTAAATTATTCTTCGTTGACGAAGTAATTTTTAGTCCATGGCTATAGGAACAATTAATTTCTTTTAAACCAGTGTGTAATTTTATCGATTATTGTGTAAATATTATTTATTAATCAATCACATCAAAAATGGTACAAAAGAAAAAGAGTAAGTTGACAAAATCTTTATTTCATTTATTTTATTATAAATATAAAAATATTGAGATTAACGATCACTCCGAGTCAAAATCATTAAGACTACCGAGTGATAAAGTTAAGAAGTTACTTTATATTTATTTTATTATTATTATTATTTTGTTATTATTGTTATTTTTGTCCTTATATTATTTTTTCTATTGTAATATTGTTATTATTAAAATTATTTTATTCGTTGAGAGTGTATTTAAAATTTTCGTTCGTTTGCAACGATTTTGTTGTTAGTTTTGAATTATTCGGTTAGGTGGCAATTAATTTTGGAATTGAGGAGAAATTTGATTTTCAAATTAACGTTCCTGTGAAATAATCTATTTTGATTTTGTTTTTCTTTTGATAATGGAGTATTTGACATTGTGGCATTTGCAATATTCGAATTTTTTTCCAACTGATTTCGATGTGGTATAAATTCCATTTTGAAATTAGAATCATGGATTGTTTACGTTTCTTTTCTGTAAGAAATATTTCCTAATTTTGATGTCAAAATTGCAATAATATTTTTATTGCTTCATGAATTTTTTTCTTTAATATGAAAATAGAAAATTTAATTAAATTTTTGTTGACGAATTTGCTGAATTTGTTTGTTGTTTTTTATTGCCTATAGTGGAAATTTTCTTCATTTTCTGGCAATTCGATTTTTTTGTATTTTCTATCAATTGTTCCAAGAAAATTTTTTATTTCTTCCTTCTTTTATTTTTGATCGATTTTTGGAAAAACGGTATTTTGGTATCTTTTTAGAATTTCTTCATTTGTTCCTTCTTCTACAAATTGGAAATTTTTTTTAATTGAAAAATGTGTGTTTTTTGTCTATTGGGAAATTTCTACTCGCAAGAGACTTTAATTAAATATTTGTCTAGTGAATGAATTTGATAAAAGGATAATAATTCTCGCGCGAATTATTTGTTTTCGAAGATACAAGGTGAGAGATAAATTGACACAACAACAAATTGTTAATATTCTCATTAAGAAGAGTTTAGTGTCTCTAGAGACAAAACTATTGTAAACTAATTTAACTATTATTATATATATAAAATAAAGTACTCTCTGGAATTCAACCGAAATTTAATATCCAAGTTTCCCACGAGAAATGGTCAGAGAGGGACTTTCAAAGTCCTTCATCTGCACGCGATGACGTCATATTGTAAAACGAAAAGAAACGAGTAATACCGAATTTATCCGATCCTTGGGGTATCCATAAGCTTTTCAAGTGGGAGGCGCCGGTCTTCCATCCATCGTTCTCTGAAGAATTCTAAGTCTCAGAAGCCAGCACGTGCTGTGCTATCTTAGTGCGTTCAGTTTTTATATCCCTTGATTTTTCCCCCCTTTCTGTTCAAAATTTTAACGAAAAAAAAAAATTGAAAAAAAGCATAAACATTGCCATAAGTAACAAAAAAAAAGGAAACAATACGCTTACTCCAAATTAGTAATTTTCTCCATTTTTTAACACTAGGGTATCAGTACCTTTGTACATATTCTTCTCTGCGCCCTTTACACGCAAGAAATCTATTTTTTAATCCATTTTTTTAATTATCCTCTGTGCATAATATTTATCAAGTGACGCATCTCTAATTTTAGAAGACAGAGAGGAGAAAAAAATTAGTAAAAGTTGATTTTATACATCTACATATTGATAGTGTTATGTAGTGAATTGAAAAGAAAAATTAATACTCAAACCAAGTGAAAGGATGTTCATTAATTCGTAAGTTATTATTAATTAATTTTTGTCT